GTAACATTTTCAAGCTTTCATGTACAGTAAAAAAAAGTAAAGAAATCGAAAAAAAAGTACGTAAAATGAAAAAAGAGAAAAATAGAAAAAGTTGCTACTTTATCTCGATAGACAAAAATTTAGAAAGTAAAAGAAAATTGATTCTCGTTTTTTACATAATTAATATATCTCTAGTCATACGATAAAAATAAGTTTAAATTAACTACGTTTGAGACAATAATTTTGCAAAAAATATATGAATTAATATTTTTTTTATATTTAGTGTGATTTGAATCAAAATTTTAATATAAAATTGTTTTAAAAATATTATAACAAGGAAAAATTATTTAAATGCAATTTTTGTGGCAAAAAAATAACGAAAAAAAAAAAGATATTTTCAAAACATTATCCCTTTGTAAAAAATGCTTCTATAAATGTAATATTTTACCTATACATACATAAGATTTCTCTACAAATCCTTAATTAAGGTTTTTGAAAAATTCACAGTAAATTCAGGAGCTACTATCAATTGGAATAAAAGCTAGGGTTTTCTATTAAAATTTCTTCATTCTGATATATCAAAATATGAATAAACCCTCTTCCAAATGATATATTTCAAAATTCCTACTTCAAGAGCTGTACAGAAATTTTAGCTACATACTCAAAATGTTATTGTTATGAAACCATTTTCTATAAAAGAAGAATGTTTTGAAAATATGTCATTTTTTCTTCATATCTTTGCCAAAAAAATTGAAATTATTTAAATGTCATTTTTGGAGAAAAAATGAAGACAAAAAACAAAACAAAAAAAAGACATATTTTCAAAACATTTTCCTTTTTTGAAAAATTCTTCTATAATAATAATATTTTGCCTATATATAGCTAAGACTTCTACACCGGGGATGAACAAGGATTTTTGAAAAATTCACATTATTTTCAGAGTTACAATCAGTTGAAATAATAACGGGTGTTTTAGTTAAAATATTTCTAACCTTATGTAATATACCGTAAAATCCAGCGTATAACGCGCACTTAGGATACACAAAATATGTTCAAAATTTACGGGAGAGCGTTAAACACCGCCTATAAAAATGATAGCTTCAAAAATAAAAAAAAATGAGCATTAAAAAAAAAAATTAGATTTTTTTATAGATTGTAATACTGTTTATATTTAAAAGAAATGACATACCTAATGAACACAAATGGTTGTTCTAGAAGTATATTATGTTTTGTTTCAAAAATCTGGGATTATACCTCGAATAAATGGCTTAAAAATATAAAAGCATTGCACACATACATTTCAGGTTCCTTCAAAAAAAAAGGAGTGCGCGTTATATAGCGAATATACCTTAAAGTTAAAAAATGTAACCTGAAAGGATGGTACACATTATACGCCGGATTTTACAGTTATCTGAAGAAATACACTTTTAAATTATATATTTCAAAAATCCTATTTCAGGCTTTTTACATGTCATAACTATATATAGGTGAAATATTATTATTACAGAAGCATTTTCCATAAAAGGGGAATGTTTTGAAAATATGTCATTCTTTTTTCATTTTTTGTGAAAAATTTGCATTTAAATAATTTTTTTATTTTAATAATATTCTTAAAACAATGTTATATGTATGTTTTAATTCAAACGACACTTAATATCAAAAATATTTCTTCATTTATACCCTTTTGAATAATCACGGTTCCGAACACAGTCAGTTAACCTTAACTGAAATATTGTTATAGTAACTCATCTAATAAAATTCATTCCTTTTTCACTTAAGTGGGTCCGGCACTTCCATAGGAACCTATGTAAAATTAGGTAAGTTTATGTACCTTTTTCTCAGAAACTTCTAGTTATTAATAGATGATATTTCCACAGTAGGTTATATGTACTATCAAAAAGACTTTAATGGAGGGTTTTGTCTTTTTGTAAAAAATTAAAATAATTATGAATTTTTTTAAAAAGTGCCAAATTTTTTTCCTTAAAATTTAGTTTAAAAAACATTATCTAAAACAGTTTACTAGATATATCTTATTCCCTCCATTAAACCCGTTGGTGAGGTGTAGTAGTTAGGAGAGGGGGTGCCAGCTCAGGTGTCGTCCACGTCACTTGACCATGGTTCAAAATTACGTGGTCCGTCGCCAAAAGCCCTCGTGTAGCTGAACAGTACGACGTTAATATTCATTCACTCACTCACTCCGTTAAAATGCGTAAACGTTGAAGGTATGCTCACTGAAAATTTGAGGATCCTACATTTAATTTTTGAGAAAAAGCTACATAAAGGGAAAAATATTGCATTTTGAGAAAACAGGCTTTAAAGTAAAAATCTGCAATTTGTCAATGAGAGTGGCTTACTTTTAAAAAATAAATAAAAACCCTTCTAATTATCGCATTTCTATACATCATATATCATTTTAAGCAGAAATGTTTGAACTTTTAAAAAATGTAAAAAAGTCAAAATCGATAATTTTTCAAGAATTCATGTGCCGAGCCCCCTTAAAATATATCAAAATTCATTCCATCAATACTAAAATTCCATGAATACAAATATTATTTCTCAAACATATCTTTGATAACAGTTCGCAAATGCCTTAAAATCTTCCTCACTTTGCACAAATTTCCCACAAACCGTCATGCAACAAAAGTAAAAGAAAAACAAAACTGGCTTCCTTTTTAGTAATTTACGATTCGCAACAAACAGATCCCGAAATGCAGACACGCTCCCTCTGAGAGAGGGAAAGAAATGCTGTGAAAACAGAGAAGCCGGCCTCCCAGGAGGAGAGTGCTAGACGCATAAATATGTCGCTTGAGTACAAATGAAGTCTCTTCTGGAAATGGAGATGTAACTTTTCTCAGGCGACACCAGATACCACAAGCGCCTGTTCACGAGATACTTTATGGGGAAGGAAAACTAGGACGAGGTTCTTTTCGCTGCCTCTCTCTGTTTTGAGGGGAAAATTACGTTTTTTTAAATGTGCCGGAAGAATTTGTTGTAGAATTCAGCTGTTTTCGTGTTGTGCAGGAAAGAAAAGTTACAGACGATATTAATAGGTCGTCTGGTTCATAATGATATAACAAGTAATATAAACAAATTTTTAAGTTAGTTCCTACTTAGGTCAACAAAGAAAAATTTTATTTTAGTTAATATTTATTAAATTGTCATAATTAATATAAATATGTATAAACACATGACACAATCACAATGATAAGTGACAAGGTAGAAAGCGCGATTTCCCTCGCAATTTTCATTTTCCTTTCTATATAGGGTGTTGGAATATTTTTCTTTTAGTTTGTTACTATTTATTCATTCATTAAATTTAATTATTCCAATAAAACACACAGTATAGTATAACTAGTAATATAAAAAAAAATTTTTTTAAGTCAATTCCTACTTAGATCAACAAAGAAAAATTTTATTTTAGCTACTTTTTATTAAATAGTTACAATTCATATAAATATGTATAGGACAAAATCATAACATTAAGTGGTAATTAATTTTTATTCATTATCATTAAAATATCGTATTGTCATCCAAAAAAATCGTGTATAGAAAATTTCAGTTCAACTGAATTCTTTAAAACGTGAGCAAAAAAAACCTTTTCAAGTTTTGACACAAGTCGCCAAAGTGGTCGCTAAATCGCCAACATGTATGTGTGTCTGTATTTGTAATTCTTTAAATAATTAGTTTTAATAAATTAATTTTTATTAATTATAATTAAATTATTGTATTGCCATCCAAAATAAACATGCATATAAAATTTCAGCTCAAATGAGAGCTTTAAAATGTACTTTACTAACGATTGAAAATTCCACCAAGATAAATAAATAATAAAAATTTATACATACACTTTTAATCTTGCATCCATCAAGGGGCATTAATATGTATTGAAAATAATATTGAAAATATTTATGTTTTCTTTAGCAGTTATTAATAAGATTTTTGTAAATGTGATAGTTGCATTTTTAATTTTTTAAAAAATTTCTCCTTTGTTTATTTCGATATCATTTAAATTTCAACTTTGACTATGATTGTATTCCAGTGGGTTTATCATTCTGAATTCATTCTACGTTCGGAGTACATTTTTTTAAACAATAACATACTTAAACATTTTAAATGGTTTTTTAGAAATCAATACCAATACATACTAATATTTATCTAACAATATTTTCAAAAACATTATCTAAATTTTACAAAAATCCCAATTATAAGTAAAATTTTAGCATTATTTTTGAAAAGCTTCAAAGCAAATAGAGAAAAAAGTAATTAACTTATATTAGTAAAAGTATTACTAAAACAAATTAGATACGTTTATCTAGAAAATATACTAAAATTTGAATGTCTTATTAAAGTTTAAAAATTTTAGAGCTGATTGAATAAATATTATAAGAAACGTGACATTTTTTTTTATGCGACCATTATTTAAAAAAATACACTATAACTCAAAAAATATTCATACAATAAGAAATGTTTTAGTACATTCTCTAGACAATAACATAAATATCAGATTCAAAAAGTATTATTGAAGTACATTTATAATATTTTGAGTTACCAAATTCGCCATGATGAATTTTGAACAATTTAAATACCCACTTGTGGTAGAATAAAGTCCCATTTCTGGTTTTTCTAATATTATGTAATTTATTGTAACTTGGTCTCTATGTAACGTAGAAACAAAACAATTCATGTTTTGTAAAGCCATAAGATAGCTCTATTCCAAGAAATAAACAAGTAACATAAAAAAAAATTAAGTCAATTCCTATTTAGGTCAACAAAGACAAATTTTATTTTAGCTGCTTTTTATTAAATAATTACAACTAATATAAATATGTATAAACATATGACAGAATCACAGTATTAAATGGCAAAGTAGAAAGCGATTTTCCTTGCAATTTTCCATTTTCCTTTCTATATAGGGTGTTGGGCTATTATTTTGTGGTTTGTTACTAATTATTCATCAATTAAATTTCATTATTCCAATAAAATAGTATAGTAAAAAGAAATCACTTTTTCATAATTTAGATCATCCCAGGTGGAAATCGAACCCACAATCTTTGGATTAGAATACCAACGTGCAATCCATTGCGCCACAGGGACACAACGAGTGATTTTTCTTTTTATGTATGGTGTTGGACTAATATTTTTGCTTGTGACTAATTATTAATTAATTAATTAATATTTTAAAAACTGTATTATAACATCAAGTGTCATCCTCTACAAGTTTAAAAAAATATATTTGATCTTGAATGTATGAATAAAAAGTATTTTATAAACGATTGAAAATTTGAACAAATATATATATATATACGACATATTTTTATATTTCTGGAAAATGGTAACTACAATGTCGTGGCTAGTGGATGGTGCTGTAACAAACGAAAGGACAGGGCGTGGCAATTGGTGATGATTACTGTATATTAGATACATTTTCTATTACTGGTTGATGTTGCGTGTTCAATGTTATTGATGAGGCAGTCTTGTGATTAGTAAATCCAGTTTATTGCACATCTTGAAACACATAGACTTATTAAAGAAATAAATCATGGGCGACACTACACAGAACAAATAAACTACGACACCACGCAATACAGCCGGCTACATGATTAAAGACACAGACAGAAGAGAGAAGAGAACTATTTCCAGAAATCTCACTATACACACCACGAGGGTAATCACATTATTTGGGGGGTTGGGGGTGGATGTAGTTCCAGAAGTCCCCGTTAGGCGGGTAATTAATTAAAATATTTAAGCGGTTGTCCTGAAGAACTGGACCATAGATAAATCAAAAGTTATTCAAGATTAAATTACTGGGAATTACTACACACACACACACACACACATATATATATATAGGGAGAGTGTGAACTAATAGTAGGAATTAAAAAACAAAAACAAAAAAAAAACATGTGTTTTGGTCGAATTTGGGTATTTTAACGTGTTTGGATACCTTAACAGAAATAACAGCCAGTCTAAAAACATATTTATGAAATAGATTATATTCAAAACAGGTCTTAAGATTAACTTTCCTTGTTCTATGACGTACTATAGTCCCCTGTACTTCCGTCTATGATACATGTTAGATAAGCTTCTCGTCCAGCGCACCGAAGTCTCTCCCGTGTTAATCATAAGCTCTATGCCTAGAAGGGATTATTTAAGTTAATGATTATTAAGATTACTTTGGCTATTTATAGATGTGACTCGATGCTCCTAAACTAGTATTAGAGCGGTACGCGGTGAGAGATTGAAGAAGGAAGTGAAATGGCGTGTTTTTGACCGATGTTTTTACGATTCTGTGAAGGGAATTGTTTTTCGAGCAGCCCTTTGCATTGGCCAGCTTCTTCGTTTATCAATTATAGAAAAAAAAATTTATGTGTTTGATCAAGGTATCCGACTACCCTAGAATCGTGATATTTTTCAAAAATTGAGAATTTTTTTTTATGATTTTATTTTATAGACCGTCGTATTAGCTTTGTAAAAAATACCAAGTTTTTTTATTTTCCTTTCACCAGAGTAAAAACTGCAAGTGTTTTAGTAAAAGCAGATGCAATAACTTTAAACAAGATGTCAAACTTTAAAATGTTTTTTACTCGAAATGCGTTTTTTTTTCCCTTTTTCTTTCTTTCTTTTTTTTTCGAAAAACTCGAACGGGGACTGTGATTGCTCAAAAAGTTTTGAAAATAATTAATTTAAATTTTATGTATGTGTTCTGTCTTATAGAAGAAGTATTTTAAACTTCAGATTTATCAATCACTGTTTTATTACAAAATTTACAGTCCCTTATGCGAATATAATCACTATTTTTTTAAGCAATTTCATATAATAACAAAGATAAAGTGCTCTAGTTTTTGTAAAAGTTAAAATATCTCTTATCATGATGGTCGTTTCAAAAATGAATATGAAAGGGACTCACCAAAATTGAAAATTTGAGATTTTGTTCTTAAACTTTTTGTGTGTATAGAGTGGGCCTCGTTTACGTAATTTTTTGCCAATTTTTACCCATTTTTTCCCATTTTAGTAGCAATAATTTCTTTTTCTCCTTATAATATTAGTATATTTTTCTTAAAATGTACTAAATATAGCTAAAAACCACAAAAAAATCTCCATAAAAAAAGTTGCCTGAAGTAATCGGATATCTTAAAACACAATAATATTGCTAGATCAGTGATTCTCAACCACTGTTCCACAGTACTTTCGTGTGCCGCAAATTTTTTTTTTAAATTATCAGTTACACTCCGAAAATAAAATAAAACCCAGAACCGAATCATTTGGCAGTTTTATAGAAATAAACTAACATTATCTGTAGTATATTTAACTAATCTTTCGTGGATAGATGAATATAAAAAAAATGTGATTGAATTCCTAATCCATTTGTGATAACGGATACATCTGTATATGACTTAACTTTGAATGAAGCGAAAACACTAATTTCGCTTTGTAATACTCAAGACTTAATTTCAAAACATTCGGAAGATTTAGTTAGTTCATTTTGGAATAAATTAGAGGTGATAATCTCATAATAGCTAAAAAGTCTTTAAAATATTGTCACATTTTTTTTTTCACTTCTATTTACGTAAATTCGTATTTTCAACGTTAATAAATATAAAAATGAAAATAAGATTGAGGCTCTTAAATGTAGATGATGAAATGAGAGTAAATGTAATGACCAATTTCGCATTAAATGTATATTCTTATAATTAATTTGTAATTAATTATTCAATAAACATTTTGTTGGCTTTGTTGTATATATTATTTTATCTAACATTGAAAATTATCATCATAAATTATTTTACATAGTGTATTATAGATAAGTAAAATTCTTTTAAACACATTTTATTGTTAGTGTGTGTGTGTGTGCCAAATTTTGAAATTGTTAAAAGTGTACCTCAGCAAAAAAAGGCTGGGAACCAGTGCTAGATAGTCAAATATTTATCTTATTTACAAAAAAATATATGAAAAAAAAAATGTGTTTTTCTTAAAGGAGTTTGATAAATATGGAATTTGTTACATTAAGATTACATACAAAAATACTAATTGCAATGAATACTTTCTCTAATGATTTTGATTTCCGTAAAATCCAGCCTATAGCTCGCTCTTTCAACACAGAAAATAAGATCGATATTTAGGGGTGCGCGCTAAACGCCTGATACATAAAAAAGATAGCTTAAAAAAAAAGAGATGAGTATAAAAAAAATAAGAATTCTACATATCGGAATACTGCTTATTTAAAAATAATGATATACACCTAGAATTTAAAAGAGGTTTTGGTCCTAGAAGTATACTATTTTTTCAAAATCCTGGGATAATACTTCAAATAAATGGTTTCAAACATAAAGTGAACATATACATTGAAGGTTCCTTCATAAAAAAAAGAAAGAAAAAGAGTGAGCGTTACACGGCGAGTATACTTAAAAATTAAAAACATTCAGCTTGAAAGTATGGGTGTGCGTTATACGCCTGATTTTACGCGGTAATTATTTTAAAAATCACATAAAGTTTTACATTGTTGAAGTATTTTGCGATTAAATATTTAGTTAATTTTCTTTAATAGTTTAAAAAGTAGGTAATAAGTTACTTATAAAATAATCAATCATAAATAAGATTTGAAGACATAACACCTTTCAAGACGTAACATATTTCGTAAAGGATATTTAATGGTTCTCATTTTCTTTTAGACTGATGGGCTACCGATATATATTTCATTTACAATAAATTTCAAAAGAATCAGAGACACTATAAAAAATAAAGCTTCACATCTTGCCAAGTATTTAAATTGACTAACTGAAGACTAAAATGCAAATTGTGGTAAGTACTTAGTTAATAAAAAGTATACTTATCACAGTACATTTAATATGTTTAGGTGCATTGATATTTTAAACATACATTTTTCTATACGAACGAAAGCACGAAAGCAGTAAGAAACAGGTTCTTTTTTGGAGACAAATTTATCAGTTGTAATAGTCATAATTTCTCATTGTGTGACAAGATAGATCACGGGTCTAGGGAGGAAAAAAATACTGTCCTCTGTTATGTTGTGTTCTGTAATTTCGACAGTAGTTTTTTTTTATAATTCCTACTATTAGCTTACACTCTCTATTTATTTATTTATTTATTTATCTTGGTGGAATTTTCAATCGTTAATAAAAGACATTTTAAAGCGCTCAATTTTGAGCCGAAATTTTACATACATGATTATTTTGGATGACAATACTGTAATTTAATTATAATTAATAAAAATTAATTGATTAAAACTAATTATTTAAAGAATTACAAATGCAGCCACGATGGCGACTTGTGTCAAAACTTAAAAAGGTTTTTTTTCTCACGTTTTAAAGCATTCAGTTGAATTGAAATTTTATATACATGGTTGTTTTGGATGACAATACGATACTTTGATGATAATTAATAAAAATCAATTACCACTTAATGTTGTGATTCTGTCCTATGTATATATATATTTATAATGATTGTAACTATTTAATAAAAAGTAGTTCAAATAAAAGTTTTCTTGGTTGATCTAAGTAAGAATTGACTTCATTTTTTTATATTACTTGTTTTTGTTTAATATAACACTGTTGTTGTTGTTTTCAATCCCCTTGGAACAGGAAAGCCTACACTAAGTCCATTTGACCTTTCCACATAACAATGTCACACACCAGGTCTTGATCTTCAAACAATTGTCTCAGGGAAATGCCCCAGCAGTCCAGAAGATGAGCGGGAGAAGCAGGAACAGGTAAGGAAAAACTCTACCCCCGGCGTAAAGGTCATACCACGCAGGTGACCGCTTCTAAGGCGTGGTATGACCTTTACACCGGGAAACTCCTGTACTGTAGAGATAGGCCAGGACTCTTAGATGCGTACCAGTGGTGAGCGGGAGGGTTTTGTCAAGTCAAATTTATTTTAGTTCTGTGGGGGGAATGAATCTCCGAATTTAAGAAACTGTTTATAATGTCTGTTCATGTAGCTATCAATAGATATAATCTCATCGCAATAAATGTTAAAAAATACTGGAGTGCCTGTTTTTCTTGAACAAAAATTGTCTTGAATTTTTACCATAAAAAAAGCTCAAAAACCCAAACTTCATTCCCCTTGAGGCAGTA